GACAGCCTTTCAGCTCTGGCATGGCTGTTAAAGCTTGTGACGGCAACAGGTCTTGATGCAATTCCTTACCATCCATTTTGCCCTTATTTTTGTTGGACTGTCCCCTTCATGTTCCACTATATCCTCTATATTGTTCTGTACCCTCAATGTTACCCTGTCTCCTGTATGTTGGACTGTCTTCTCCATGTTGCACGATCATCAAAATGTTGGACTGCCCCGCTATGTTTCGCCAACTCCTATACGTCGGTATTCACCCTACATGTTAAACTTTTTCCTGCATGTAGCACCATGTTCTTTATGTTGGACAATCCGTTTTATGTTACACCCTTTCATCTATGTTAGACGGTTCTCTTCATGTTGCTTCATCTCCTCTATGTAAGACTGTCATGTACTTGTTGCGACTTATCCTTAATATGGGACTGTCTCTTTGTATTCAACAACTCCGCACCTCAGCCATACTTCGCACTCTCTTGTCGATTTAACCGTCACAGACGAGTTTATTTCCGTCACAGTTTATGAGTTTGAGTTCCTGAACTGTTGTCATCAGTTGAGCGGGATGTATTGCATGCTACACACCCGTATAGAATATTGTTAAATTATTGATTAGTAAATAATTGAGGACATCAGTAGAGAATGATGATAATTGAATGTTAGAATATTTGAAATAAGTTATGGTTGTTAGTTTCTTTATTGGGCATTACATTTATATTGTGAAAATCGTTTATTCTCTTGCTTTATGTGAGAATTATTCTAAACTCACACGTAAAATGTGCGCATCATTCAAGAATACATGAAATCTTGCTAATTTTCAGGATACAGTCCACAATCAACGAAAAATATATGGAGGTTGTCCGTTCAGTCTAGTCGAAAACATAATGAAAAGACAACATATATATCGTTCTGCTTGGATATTACTTCATTGAATGTGTGGCAATTTGTTTCTGAATTTAAAAAACTGCAAAAATTTCTGATTATTGTAACATTTTCAACTTGGTTGCAGATTTATTGTTTAGAAATTGGCAAAAGTTGGGTTCAAAAATTCGTTTGAGACATATGAATATAAACCGAAAATTCTTAGAGATATATCTGTACGAACATCAATCAGAAGAATAACTTGAAATTAGATAAACAAAACATGAACGAAATACTTAAACAGCGCAGTGACAACGCGAGCAACACAAAATACTAAGCCGAAAACCAGTAATATTCCAGCTTGATGGTTTACAAATGAATAATGCCGAAATAGCATAAGAATCTTCCTGTCATTTTCATCACGTACCATTCCTCTACACACTGACTACGACAGAAGAATGAACAATTGACTTTCACAATCAAAATTCAATCGTTTAAAGTTATTCAATCATAATTAAATTTTAGCTTTTCAATCTACTTGTGATTAAACATATGATATTCAAACATCCTATATCATAAATATTGATTTAGACGCCAAATTTCGACGAGCGCCCTGCAGGTCGTGGGGCGGAGGGCCTGTAGTGCAGGTTAGTATCTCATTAAACAGTTTCAAATGAAGGCAAGTTATTGTGAAGTTAAATTATCGAATTAAACAGCTTCAAAAGTTATTGTGAAGTTAAATTAGTTAGCGCTTCAAAGTATGGGTCACATGTCATCCTCATAAATAAAAGAAATCTCATGAACCTGAAAGGAAACATTGGGGTAAACAGAAGCTAGCCTTAAAAAATCCTTTTGAACCGTATAATCAATTCTATAAATCTCGAGAAGCAAGGCCACAACATTCACACAACATTCATTCAATATCTGGTGATGATAATAATCCTGACCAGATGCTAATAAAAAGCAATAAATGTTAAAAAAATCAATAGAAATAATACAAAATAAGATGCCTCACGAAAATCGAAACTTGAAAGAAATTAAGTGAAATTAAGAATTTTTTTCAAATTCTATAATTGAAGTCATTATACTAACAATGAAACAAACAGAGTTCCATTTAAAAATATCAAGTGACTTCTCTTTGCAATTTTATTTCTAGCAGGTGGCATTTGTTCATTTTTTAAACTCTAGGACTAAACGTGCATTTTACAAACCATATCGAAAAAAAAACTTCCTGATAAATGATAATAAAATATGTCCGTTTTTTGAACCACATGCGCTGACATTCTTGCCGCGATGTTCCCTTTCGCCTCAACTGTAATAGCGCTGTGTTCCCAAACATTCAGCTCTAATTTAGAGGGTAGTTTTTCTTCCATGCTTGAATTTCAACTGCAGTTCGTGCATCGCGAGTCTCGTAAAAATGTACGAGCGTAGGGACATGTGAGCACGATGGTCCCAAATCACTTTTTCGACTCCGCAGAGAATATCTGATCCCACTGCCTCCACGATGAGGCATACCATCACTATAAACCTGCTGATACTGCGGCCTGAGAACCTCATTCGAGAATATGTGCTCAATGTTTCCAGAATTTTCAGGTACATGGCGGGAACTTTCGCTGGAAAATTCTCTAGGGGTGGAAAGCTTCATATAATCGCTTGAAGATGGAGAGTCAACTTTTAATTTTTCCTCGTCGCCGTTGTCATTTAAACTTAAATTAAAGAAGCTTTGTGCCAAGCTTCCTTCAGTCTGACGTAAGCCGCTGGGTTTTGAGGTGGAGGAAGTTCCGACCGCATCGAGAATTTTGTCAGGATGCAAAATTTGGGTCTTCATCGAGCACAGCAATTCTTCCAGTTGTGTGTGTAAATCGCTATTGATTTCGGAAAAAGAACTGGGGCTTGATATAATTTTGTGAAAAACATGATCACAAAATGCGGGTGCCTTATGGAATATGTTCTGACTTGTTGGTTCAAAGGCTGGTTGATTACGATCATTCGACTCATCAGTGTTGTCATAACTTTTAATGTGTTTAGGACCGGAAGACATTTGACTCTTAGCACCTTTTTGCTTCAAAAAGCAAGCTGATCCGTCAGGGTTTGATGGTGGCTGTTGCGGCAGAGTTATAACGTTACCAGCTTTTGATTCCGGAAACATACTAGTAACAGAAGTGGTATTTGGCTGTGCAGATTTGTTGTTTAAGATTGATTCTTTTGTCCCTGAGAGAGAAGTCCCAGAAAACTTGCCGTCTGATCCAACATTCCTCCCTTCGAACAGTTTGTTGGCCATTTGTGTAGCACGGACTGTCGCTACGACGCCTCCCTTGGCAATTAAATGATCATGTCTCATAGTTTTCTCTGTGCCGTTTTGGGTACCTGGGACATCTGAAGTTTTTGCGGTGAGAGGAAGTTTGCTCGAGAGCGAGCTTGACTGGTATCGACGCGGATGCGATATTTCAAATTCCTCTCCAAGAAATTGAGACTTGGGCAGAGACGAATGAATTGACTCGTCTGTATTCAAGGTACGACCCTGTTCTGAACAGCAGGAGGCAATTGCTTCTCTATTTTTGCAAACGAATCGAAAGTTTTCGTCCTTGTCCATCGATGATGGTCGCGGGTCCTTGTTCCTGTCCTTCGATTCAGACCGTCTGCGGACGTGTCCATCTCGTGATGCAGATCGTTTGTCGTCTTGTCCATCTTGAGATGCAGATCGTTTGTCGTCGTGTCCATCTTGAGATGCAGATCGTTTGTCGTCTTGTCCATCTTGTGATGTTGCTCGTTTGTCGTCGTGTCCATCTTGTGATGCAGATCGTTGGTCGTCGTGTCCATCTTGAGATGCAGATCGTTTGTCGTCGTGTCCATCTTGAGATGCAGATCGTTTGTCGTCGTGTCCATCTTGAGATGCAGATCGTTTGTCGTCTTGTCCATCTTGTGATGTAGATCGTTTGTCGTCGTGTCCATCTTGAGATACAGACCATTTGTCTTCTTGTCGATCTTGTGATGCAGATCGTTTGTCTTCTTGTCCATCTTGAGATGCAGATCGTTTGTCGTCTTGTCCATCTTGTGATGTAGATCGTTTGTCGTCGTGTCCATCTTGTGATACAGACCATTTGTCTTCTTGTCGATCTTGTGATGCAGATCGTTTGTCTTCTTGTCCATCTTGAGATGCAGATCGTTTGTCGTCTTGTCCATCTTGTGATGTAGATCGTTTGTCGTCGTGTCCATCTTGTGATACAGACCATTTGTCTTCTTGTCGATCTTGTGATGCAGATCGTTTGTCTTCTTGTCCATCTTGAGATGCAGATCGTTTGTCGTCTTGTCCATCTTGTGATGTAGATCGTTTGTCGTCGTGTCCATCTTGTGATACAGACCATTTGTCTTCTTGTCGATCTTGTGATGCAGATCGTTTGTCTTCTTGTCCATCTTGAGATGCAGATCGTTTGTCGTCTTGTCCATCTTGTGATGTAGATCGTTTGTCGTCGTGTCCATCTTGTGATACAGACCATTTGTCTTCTTGTCGATCTTGTGATGCAGATCGTTTGTCTTCTTGTCCATCTTGAGATGCAGATCGTTTGTCGTCTTGTCCATCTTGTGATGTAGATCGTTTGTCGTCGTGTCCATCTTGTGATACAGACCATTTGTCTTCTTGTCGATCTTGTGATGCAGATCGTTTGTCTTCTTGTCCATCTTGAGATGCAGATCGTTTGTCGTCTTGTCCATCTTGTGATGTAGATCGTTTGTCGTCGTGTCCATCTTGTGATACAGACCATTTGTCTTCTTGTCGATCTTGTGATGCAGATCGTTTGTCTTCTTGTCCATCTTGAGATGCAGATCGTTTGTCGTCTTGTCCATCTTGTGATGTAGATCGTTTGTCGTCGTGTCCATCTTGTGATACAGACCATTTGTCTTCTTGTCGATCTTGTGATGCAGATCGTTTGTCTTCTTGTCCATCTTGAGATGCAGATCGTTTGTCGTCTTGTCCATCTTGTGATGTAGATCGTTTGTCGTCGTGTCCATCTTGTGATACAGACCATTTGTCTTCTTGTCGATCTTGTGATGCAGATCGTTTGTCTTCTTGTCCATCTTGAGATGCAGATCGTTTGTCGTCTTGTCCATCTTGTGATGTAGATCGTTTGTCGTCGTGTCCATCTTGTGATACAGACCATTTGTCTTCTTGTCGATCTTGTGATGCAGATCGTTTGTCTTCTTGTCCATCTTGAGATGCAGATCGTTTGTCGTCTTGTCCATCTTGTGATGTAGATCGTTTGTCGTCGTGTCCATCTTGTGATACAGACCATTTGTCTTCTTGTCGATCTTGTGATGCAGATCGTTTGTCTTCTTGTCCATCTTGAGATGCAGATCGTTTGNGGTTCGATCCCAGCTCTGTGCGCCAGTTTCTGGTCAGAATCGGCAAGGAGGCTGGGCGGTTAAGCACAGCAGAATTGTAGCAGTGAGTTACGGGTTCGAGACCGCAACATGCTGTGAATATTCCGTCATGTTAAGAATCGGCGACAGGCCTACGGCCTCATAAACGCTGACGCTATTATTTATTTTATTATAATATGATCGCGAATTTAGTACTGAAAATTTATCAATATTCAGATTATCACTAAACTCTGCCTGAAACGAACTCATCTAATAATTTAATAATTCAATTCAAGCCTCTTACATTGGTAATGAACTGTAAAATAAGGAAATTTTGCATCCACAACCTCTCATGAGTGGAGCGAGCTTCAGTAGTTCAGTAGCGTATGTCCTTACATAAATATTGCATTATCTCGCGCAGGCCGCAGATTTCCAGGGTTCTAGTCAACCTATGTCATTCACGTGCGATGTACCGAATAAAATATATTGTTTAGTTAGCCCTACAATAGTTTCTGCGTCAGAGCCCTCATAGAAAACTTTTACTGTTCTGAGTTCAGGATAGAGCTTATACCAGCCGATGAGAGACGAGTAAACGAAATCTTCCCTTATGACGCAGGAAAGCTAAGAATGCACATGTGGATAAATAAATCTAAATGTAAGACTAAGTTATAAGGGGAGTGGTTTTATGAACATTCAAGTATTTTTGCCACCAAGATCATCTCTTGCTATGTAGGTCTCTCACAGTGATGTGTGAATTTAGTGACAGATGATTGTTACCTATGATAATTACATAATCTCTTACCGTGATATACTGCGCCAGCTAGGGCCTCATAATTTAGTGGAAAATTTATACGTCAAAATTCGCAAACGTGATTTTAGCGCAATGCCACTTAAATCTATCAATCAACATGGCGCAGATAAATCAATAAAGCCTAAATTTGATAAATTTCACGGAATTTTGGAAAATTGTTACGGAACTTTATTTGGAGTGCATATTTGAAATGTGAGTATCTCTGTTTTTATGTGATATAAAAATGTAATATATAATCTTGATGCAAAATGAAGGGAAATAATTTTGCAGGGTAACTAAATTAAAAACCTTTGGGATGGGTAATTAATTAACAAGTAATTAGGGCAGCCACAACTTTAACATAAGTAGCAGTAGCTGCAGTACTGGCTGCCACAACAGGAGTAGCAGTAGCTGCAGTACTGGCTGCCACAGCAGGAGTAGCAGTAGCTGCAGTACTGGCTGCCACAGCAGGAGTAGCAGTAGCTGCAGTACTGGCTGCTACAGCAGCAGTAGCTGTAGCTGCAGTACTTCACGTGTGTGGCTGCCACAACAGGAGTAGCAGTAGCTGAAAGCCTAGTAGCTACTTCAAACTATCGTCAGTCATGAAAAGATCCGGTCAAATGACACGAGTTTAGATCTATGAACAAGGCACGAAAAGGAAAAGAATCGGCGACAGGCCACATCAGGCCTAAACTTCAGCGCCGAGATCAATATGTTATGTTATGTTATGTTATTTCACCTCCTTGCCTTGAGTTGAGGCTGTAACATGTTCGGACAATCTAATCGTTATAAAGAAATCATTGCAACAAATTCGCAGGTAAAGATGAAAAATATAAGGAATTACAACAAACTAATTCGTCACTTTGAGATGGAAAATGAATACATCTACCTTTAGGCCATGAAACTGACGGAAATAATTTAAATAGAGATCAAAAAGCACGAGCTCGTTCGTAACTCGTTCGTAACAGCATTGAACGACAGCGGTGCCAGGTACCGCCATACCATGGTTGAACTAGTATAAGGTTGACCCATCAGCAGCCCATTTCTGCGGATGAAGTTCGTTGTTCGCCTGTGACGTCACTGATCTCAGTGACGTCACGGGCATTAACTAATCACCGAAATGCGATCAAACCAGTCAACCAATCCGTCATGGGAATGACGGGTTTGTTTACGTTTCTCGATTTCGTGATGTAACAAGAAAGCTTTACTGAAAGACGGAACTTCTCGTGGGTCAACCTTATATAGTTCAACCATGCCGCCATACGTCATCATCATGGAGACTGGAATGCGGTATTAATTCAGAAATTTAGTTGCATTTAATCCAATCTATATATAAAAAGGAAGATTATCACCATTATTTATGATGCTTGATGAAAATCACCACTTTAGCTGTAAACCGTATATCATTTTTCGTAGAACTTAGGCAGTCGGCACCCGGCACTGCTTGTCTCGACGAGTCGACAGTTGTCACGTCATTCTTGTGAGGTTATACGAAGGGAAGGTACGTCACGTGCGAGCTCAGGTTTGTGACATTATTTGCCTACTTATTAGACCATCTATAATTGACTTGCTATGCAGAAAACATCCCTAAGAATCCATCATCATTGGTGAAGTTGAGGATGTGTAGACCTTGCGGGTAGAATATTTCTCGGTGAAGAATGAAGAGAATTCGATATTCGTGCACATGGAGTGAAGAATTCATTAGCCTTGGCTTAGTGCCTTAGTAGGTGTGCTGACAAGATTTTTGGGCTACCTATAATAGCAGTAAGGGAGTGATTGATATTTTCGTATAATTAATTAGAACTTATTTATGACGATCTTTTTATATCACTCTTGTTGTTTAATTCAGCTGTATTGAACTTGAAAATTGTGATTTTAATTGTAATTAATAAGAATTTAGAGTGAATTCCATCTTTTCTATTCATGATTCATTCATCGGTGTTGTATACAATACCGCCTATAATGGTTCAAACATTTGCTTTATGTAAAAATTGTTAAAATAATAAGGTTTGCAAGAGAAGCAAGTGAATTTCAAGCTAAACACAATTATTGGAAATAAATTCTAGGCTTAAAATCAAAGAGATTACAGAGAAAATCAAGAAATAAAACTTCTTCAGTAGTTTCACTATATCTTCTGAACAATAATTGCGGCCATTCAAGCAATATTTTATTCTAACCTTGAATGCAATGTCATGAGTCATACCGACAATGCTACACAACGAAAAACCTAAAACTTTTTTCTTGAAATACGGAATTGTCCAAACTTCTTCAAAGTTTCAAATATGAAATATCTCCGTCCCACTTAAATATTATAAATATTTGACGATTATTATTTTATTGACGATTAATTAGCGTATCTAAGGACCCAAAGGCTCTAGCTATGATCACACAAGCTGCCGAAAAAGTCAAGATCAATTTGTCTTCTCAAGTAAAGGACCGAATTCAAATCGAGTGCTTGAGTCAAGGCCAAGATTTGGACTTGGGTTTGACCCGTAACAGGTTAGAGTTGCTCTGCGCCGACATTTTCGACGAAACCTTGCAGTGCGTCGACACTGCGATTGCCAACGCCGGGATGGCAACCGATGAAATTCATGAAGTGGTCTTGGTCAGCGGCTCGGCAAGGATCCCTGAACTACAAAAGAGGCTGAAAGAGAAATTCCCAACGAAAGAAATTAAAATGACCATCAACCCGGCAGAAGCTGTAGTGTACGGCGCTGCGGTTCAGGCAGCCATGCTCAACAACGACCGGAGTGTTGAAGACATTCAGCTGTCTGACGTTACCCCTCTGTCCTTGGGAGTGACTCTTTTTATGGACAGAATGAGCACAATAATCCAACGAAACACCAAAATGCCAGTTACGATAACGAAAACGAATTACACGACCGTCATTGATTCTCAAAAATCCATGAAAGTCTTAGTTTATCAGGGTGAGAACTCCGTTGCCTCAAAGAACAATTTGTTGGGCGAGTTCACGGCTGAAGGAATCGAATTAGTAGCTGCTGGTGTCCCTACAGTTGACATAACGTTTTCCTTGGATAAAAACGGGATTTTGAACGCGACCGCCGTGGACACGAAAACAGGAGGCGAAGGCCACGTGAGTGACCATCTCAGTGAATAAAGGCCGTCTTTTGAAGGAGGACATCGAGAGGATGATGGTCGAGATGAAGGATATCGATGAAAAGGAGGATCAGCATCGTGCATTAATGGACGCTTCTGCCTCTTTGGAGGAAACGATAGTGAAGAAGAAGGATCTTCTTGAACGTAAGAAGGGCCTCAAGAAAATATCTCAAAAAGGCTACGAGAAAATCAAGAAGGTGTGCGAAGAAGCCGAGGTTTGGTTGGAGGCTCACGGCGACGCAAGCAAGGATGAGTTTGATGATAAGGAGCAGCAGTTCAACGAGTCTTTCTCTGAACTCTTGGCCGACCTGAGCTTCTGAACTGCTGCTTGTTACGTGGCAGCAGCAGTCCAATTGCTGCTTGTTACGTGGCAGCAGGTGGCAGCAGCAGTCCAATTGCTGCTTGTTACGTGGCAGCAGCAGTCTAATTGCTGCTTGTTACGTGGCAGCGGCAGTCCAATTGCTGCTTGTTACGTGGCAGCGGCAGTCCAATTGCTGCTTGTTACGTGGCAGCGACAGCTCAAAACTCCATCACGCGTTAGACAATTTTGAATATTTTACTGCGCATTTAGTTAGTGCACTGCAATAAACTGAAATAATCATGAATAAATCGACGTGTCCGTAGGAAAGGAGGGCGAAGTGTGGGATCAGGGCGCAGCCGCGAGCATTTCATGCTGTTTATTTTTAAGGTTTGCATTATTTTAATAGGCTTTATTCCGTAAGCATGATGAGTTTTTTGCTTGGGGCATTTGTTTATTCCAATTTACCCTATATTTCAACATTGATTGAATTTTTCATATCTTTACATCAGAATTTTTTCGAAGTACAGGAAGTATACTTTCAGCGGAGTACTTTGATTCGTGTTGTGCAGGAGCCTCCTTTTAAACGTACAGAATGCTGGTCAAATTTTCATTGTACCAGTAGAAAAAGAATGATAATTTTCATAGAAAATTCTTCATTAAAGGTACGCTCACATGTTCCTAAATATTGTTTGATTTTCATTTATTTTTCATTTGTCAGTTTAATAACGGACGTTTTGCTTGCCAGGCGTCGCCTTCTGAATTAATCATTTAAATTTCAAATTGCAATGCTGTAATAGACATTGTTTCCTCCATCCAGCGCATCAAACTAATTAATTATTAAAATTAATTAAGAGTTTCAAAATCCATTGTTTTCGCACAAATCAGTGAATTTTAGTTGATACTTTCCTGTAACCATAAAGTGCATCAATTTTGCGGGGTAAAATAATTGAACAAATTTAAAATATATTTATTTAAACAATTTAAATTAACAGTTATCAACTAACAGAATCTATTGAGAACGCAAACGAGTGGAGGGTGCAAGGAAACACACGGCTCAGAAATTCAAGTAATTAATATACGAAAGCTTGGAGCCGCGCAGCCTCGCGTGCACCGCAGCAGCGGCAAGCGTCCCGAGAGCGTCGGGATTGCTGGAGTGCTGCCGCTGCACCGCACGCGCTAAACAGAAGTGAACGTCTGCAATGTTGCAGACTAGATCTTAGTAAATGGGATGCATCTAATATTTAATGATGGTGTTAGAATCAGAGTTATAGAAGCTATGAATGTAATTAAACTGCTTGCACCGCAGCCCAAGTCGCTCAGCATGGCGGTATCTGGCAACTCACTTGTTCGATGTCGTCTCGAACGCGTTACAGACAGAGAGCGTGATCAGCCTCGCCATGGCCTTAATTAAAACTATTACAACATTTTATCCCCCGTTTTAGTTAATTGTAATTAAGTTTAGTTAATAATAACAAGTAGTAAACATATAATAGGATAATTGTAAGAAATTCTAATGTACACAAGTAACTTCATTTAAAATAAATTGATTTAGTTACTGTGGTAGAGAAGTTGCATGTTGACGGTGGGTAGCACGGGAGCCCTGCATCTCCAGACAAGGGCGGGGTGCGTGGCTGCTAATTAAAATTACTACGTAGAACAAAGACTAATTTCCCAACTTATCAATCCTATTAATTGGGATTCACTTTCACTTTGCGCAATGGGAAATCATCTGCAATACACGGATTTCCTCGCGTGCAGTCAGTAGTCCCCAACGACGAAGATGTTTCTCAGCATCAACGTCTTCAGTCCGCACCTCAGCGGCGGCCGCCACCTCGGCACGCCTGAGCACCTCCGTAGCTCACCAATCTGCGCGCATAGGCACTTCTCCGAGGCACACTCTCCTGTTTCTTGCGCCTTAACGATGACAACTTTTCGGGTTCTGTTTTGTGATCGCGTCGTATTTTCCTCGTCTGCGGAATGGGCGATGTTTATCCCCCAGACTTCAGTCCATGACCGCGTCATTTGCTGAGTCCAACGAAGAAGACCAGCGTCTTTCAGCTAATAGTTTGATGGATAGCATTGATGATAATTTTTTCGTATCGTATTTATATAGCATTCATTATTATTGTTATGTTATTTACATTCATCTGTGCCATCTGATGCGATCATAATATAATGAAATCACTATTCCAAACAATTATTCACACTGGCCGATGTTGGGCGAGACAATATTGCGCGAAATGAGAAGCAGTGCAAAATAATCTCTTATATTAAATTATTCAAAGCATATATTGATGTATATATTTTTTAAATTATTTTAACCTGCAAAATTGATACACTTTACGGTTTTAGGAAAACATAAACTAATTTCACAAATTTGTGCGAAACCCACCATTTTTAAACTCTTAATTAATTAGTTTGATGCGTTGGACGGTGGGAACAATGTCCATTAAACCATTGCAACCTGAAAAATGAAATGATTTTATTTAGAAGGCAACGCATCGCAAGCAAAACGTCCGTTAGTCAACTGACAAATGAAAGATAAATGAAAATCAAACAATATTTAGTAATATGCGAGCGTACCTTTAATGAAGAATTTAATATGAAAATCATTACCTTTTTATTTTTAAAATTAAAATTTAACTAGCATTCTGTTTGTTCAAAAGGAGGCCACTGTTGAATATGAATCAAATTACTCTGCAGTAAGTTTATTTCCGGTACTTACTTTAAAAAATTTCGATGGAAGGATACAAGAAGTTTAATCAATGTTAAAAAATGGAGTAAATTGGAATAAACCAAGCCGGTACTGCAGCTACTGCTACTCCTGCTGTGGCAGCCAGTACTGCAGCTACTGCTACTGCTGCTGTGGCAGCCAGTACTGCAGCTACTGCTACTCCTGCTGTGGCAGCCAGTACTGCAGCTACTGCTACT